ATATGAGAATGAAATTCAAATTTATTTGCTTTACACAATAGAAACAACGTGAAAGTATTAAAATCTGACTCATGAAAAGCAAGGGAAAAAACTTCTGTGACAATTGTTTTAGTCAAGAATGAGTTTCATAAGAACGAAGAAAAACAAAAAAAATTTTCAAGTAAAATATATTGAGGTATGAAGGATTTTGTTTTAATATCTTATTTTATGAACTTTACTAAAAAAATCGAACGAATTCAATAAATATGTTTGTCATTATGAGATTTATTTAGAAAAGAAAAAAACCTTTTTTAAAATGTGTTTTATTCAATGTTGAAATGACGGAAGCAAAATTATTTTGAAATTTAACATCGAACAAAAGAATAATATTCTTTTCATATGTAAAATTTTTAGGGTATGGGTGTGATTATGGGATATAGAGATGGTCTCGCGGATGTGTATGCGTCATCTCTCACTCGACATATCCATCCACATCATTGTTGCATTTTTCTGTCTTGTGGAGAAACGTGGGCTGTTTGTGTTGAGTGTCAACTCACATGACCGACAAGAAAATTCTATCTGAGACTTTGCTCTTTCGAATAAGAGAACTTATTCAATTTCAATGTATTTTATCTATGTTTCGATCTTGATCAATGTAGCATGCGATGCAAAAATGTCAACCTATGTTAGACCATGTTGTCAGCTTCTAAACAAATAATATCTTTTTTTTCTGGAAAGTTCAAAGTCTGATTCACAAATTTTATACCAGACTTGTTTTTCATGAATGAATCTACGAAGCAGGAGAAGTCAGACATCGAACACCTTTAAAAAAGTTCTTACAACTTCATCTTCGCGTAGTATCATTTTCGATTTTGCTTTCATTTTGTTTATACTAAAAGCAAAACGAAAACACACGGTTAATGATGATTTTTATAGCATAAAGAGTGCTCTTTCCGATGGTGTATTCAAAGTTAAACTTAGTCTTGGCTTCTTTAGAAAAATATAGCTCTTTCTAAATGACACTGTATAATTTGGTCTCTCTTACTATCTGACCGTTTTGTAACAGTAAAAGAGGAATTTTTAATTATTTATTCAGCTAAGTTTCTAGGATCTGACGTATTTCAAACAAATAATATGTAAACATTTCAGTTCACACCTAATTTCTGGAGATTGTGGTTGATCTCTTTCCAAATGAATACTTTTTGCAAAATACTCTATTGTACAAAAATTTCAATTTCTTATTTTTTAATAACAGAGTTAAGAGCTAATCTTTAAAAAAACAATCACCAAAGCTGGTATCAAAAGAAGTTTCGATGTATCACATTTTTGATGCATTTTTTTTTTATAGAATTTGATGTATACAGCTCAAGATAATTGAGAAATAGAAGCTTTTCAAGAGGTGTTTAGCTTTTAGCTTCTCTTGCTTTGTAGATTCGTTCGTGAAAAACAAGCTTGATGCAAAATATGTAGTTCAAGCTTTGCTCTTTTCAACAAAAACAACTTGATTGGTTTAGAATCTGACAATATGGCCTAACATAGGTTGACATTTTTGCCAAGACTTTTGTATTGCATGTGATTTTATATGCTAAAGAAATGCTTCATTACTAGATACATTTAATAGTGTTTATATATTTGAGGATATGGAGGATGTGTAGGTATGTCAAGCAAACCATGATCGCGATTTAGACCTTGCTCAAGGGTTTCATCAGATGGTTTAGACTTCTGTCTCTATTCGAAATGATTTGATGATTACAAATAATGTATTTACTCTAGTTGTTTCAGGAGGAATTGCGGAAGTGATGATTATTGAAAGATAGGATTATACAGGTGTGGTTGTGCCTGCGTTTATGAAATATTTATCGTCAGTAGGATCGGTGAATAAAAATGTTGAAATTAAGGTTTATGTTCTCAGAATGAGGGAACAACTATTAATTTACAATGTGAAATGAGAAGTCATTGTGAAGAAGCATTTTTATGGTGAATATTCGGTTAATATCTTGGGTGTGAATGTGAAGTGTGGGTGGGACTGTCGGCGAGATTGATGATAAGATTCACACCCATCCATCAATCAAACCAGTGATTATCGATTGAACAGGTTTGGTCATGATTTACGTGGAATGGCTCATATGTAGTGTATCTTTTCTAACGATGATGAGGCTAAAAGCTGAAGTTCTAGTGATAATAACCATTTTCGAGTGCTAAGGTTTCTTAACTTGAAATATACTTCTGGGCTTTCTAAGACTGATACTTGTGATCATTGTATTCCACTTTATCATTAAGTATATTTTTAATTTCAATCAAAAGAAAACAGCTTTTCGATATCTCTGGAAGGATCACAATACCTAATTTTTTTTTTCGAACTATTCTAATAATGATCTATACAATATGATCAAGAGCTTTATATTTCTAATTTTATTGTAGACGAGAAAACGATCTTATTCAACTTCATCTTGTCATGTTATCTGCTTCTGTATCTGTTAGTGATGGATCAATTAAGAAGATATCGAATACTTGAAAGTCTGGGTGAGTTTTATTGTGAAAACTTCTTGCACAACTTATTCTTAATTGCCAGGTTACATGAGTCGAAAACGGAGATTCTATGTGTAAAAAATGCGTCAAGAACTGATAAATGACAATAATTTCGAGGAGATTGTGTTGTTTTTTCCAATCGGTCTCATCTCTGACGAGCTTAATCATAATGATTACAACCATGGTAATGAGACTTTTTAAGTACAATATTTAACCGTAATAGATTATCAGACGCATCTAATTGAAAAATTGATTGAAGTTATGCAAACGATCCCTGTAAACGTTACTTTGAGTGATCTTATTGAAGAAGTACTTGATGCAACTACATCGAGATGGGTGAAATCTGACAAACTTGAATAAAAACTGATAGAATGAGAAGGAATCATTCGATAATGGAGGATACCATGCATTAATAATCAACACAACATAGATAAGCATCGCCTACCATAGATACGGACACTCATATTCTCAGTGTAACTGTAGGGTTAAGGAACTCTTTCAAATTCTGCAGTAGTATATCTGCGAAAAAAAAATAGAGCAAGTCCTTACCTATAGTATTTAGAAATAAAAATAGGCTTTATTTATTTCTATTGTATTTCCAATGTAAATGCTTGTGCAAGAATTCGTAGAAGAACAACATCTAATACTAATCATGAGTCGAATAGAAACACAGAGTCCACTGTATGATAAAAAGAAAGATGAGTTTTTGAGGTGTATTATCATCTATGAGAAATAAACTGATATTCAACATATAAATGTTGACGGTGAAATATCAAGATAAATTTGAATTCTATGGAAAATTCAAATGAAAAACTATAGTTAACTATATCTATAAACGTCATTGGTATCAAAAATACTGAATACAATGTTCTGTATGTAGAATATATGAAGCCGAGGTGAAATAATTGCCTTATTCAGTTTCAACTAATACCATGATGTTTTAAGCGTTGCTGGATTACTATGCACGATTTCATTACAGTGTAACAACAAATATTGATTAGAATGAACTTCTAGTGCTCAGCGTGAATGATTTCTATGCAAAGAAAAGAAGCTAATGTTTCATTAGTCATTTTGAAGGAGTATTTATCCTTTTTCTATTTCTAAAAATGGCCTCTTCGCAGTATATTAGCTATGTGTATTTACAAATGTACAACTTGAAGCTTCAATTCCCACTATCACAATACATGCTTTCCATTGACGTTGCAACGTAGAAGAACGTAGCATCCTGCGACGAGCTGTGACTCATGATCGCCTCTGCACAGTCGATGATGACTCTTAGAGTAGCAAAAAAACTCTTACACAGTGTTTTTCATGAATTTTCCAGAAGTACAATTGCACTTGTAAAATCTTGCAAACATTCTGCGAACGATTGCAATGGTGATTCTCGCAATGGAAATAAGCAACTACTCAGTTGTGTATTATTCTATTGACTAAAAAGCATCATTAACATTTTCAACAAAACAAACCGACTGACAAGATGAATAAAAAAAGTCATCAACTCGTTTTCAATAAACTGGAGAATCTATGAAATTATTCATATAATGAAAAATTCGAAAACATTCTATTGCATGCTTTTCTTTATATTAGCGATGGGAATTAAGTTTTATCTTTTTTCTAATATTTCTCTTCAATTTGATTTACATACAATATATTTCGAATTTGTATTAGAAATGTGATGATTGTGGAGAAAGGGAAGACGCACACACATGCATTTTTTTTTTACAAAATTTGCTGACTTTTTCAACTGAAATCGTATTGTTTATTTCAAAAAAGATTGTAGTAAGAAGAAAGAAAGTTCAGCACCTGAGCAATAAAAAAAAATATATATATCTATGCGTCTGTTCACCTTTCAGAAAAATATCCTTATGCTTCCAATGCTTTTCTGTTGATCTCGTTTTTGTGCTACATTGCAAAACTAAGCTTTATGTCTTGAATTTTACTTAACTTAATTATTATCTTAATTATGATGAAAATAATAGAAAACAGCAAACAGTGAAATATTGTATAAATATTAAATAAAACAATTTCAGTACAACGAACTACTTTCTATTTTTCTAAGAGATATTACTCGTTACTCTAGCCATTACTTTCTAAACTATTAAAAAGATTTCTTTTTCATATTCACATGGTAGATTATAAGATAATATACATATGAATAAATAAAACATATTTCTGATGGTAAAAAAAGATAAAAATTTTCTTTTTTGAAAAAAGCACAGTAATGCAATTCATACTTTTCTATTGACATTGAATAATATTCTTTTATTTAATAAAAAATTTTTGAATTGTACTAGAATTATTACAGTTAGCGCTATTCTCCGAATTTAACGATTCTTTTTTCTCTATACATCATTAGGCACGAAAATATATATTAACTAGTCATTATTTTTTGTGAAGCCGATATTACGATAAACAACACAGCTCAAATAAACGTCATGCTTCATTTCATTACCTATATACAGGTAGCATATCCAATGGATTGAATCTATAATATGTTATTATCAACTCGTGATGCACAACGTGAGAAGAGTGCGTCGCAACTGTTTGTAGCAGCTGCAAGAGCTGAAAGATTAAGTGCTACTAGCTTAGACAATGTCAGTTTTCATCTAGGTTCATTATCCGATATTCATCGAGGTAGCAGATTATCACGAGTACAATCACATTCACAACATCATGCACAATACTTATCAACAGTCGCTGATGTTACAACCGACGAACCGACGATTAATGATGAAAAGTCGTCAACATCTTCGCAGAAAAAACGATATCATTGGAAGATGACTTATTATTTTTATATTCATATATGTTTATTTATTATCAGTGGATTCTTGTGCGGTTTAATCGTTTGGCTTATTGAAAATCATTCATCTTCACGCAATCTTCAAATGAAAGTAGATTATATTGATGCATGGTTTGTTAGTAGTTCATGTATATGTGGTTGTGGTTTGACAACATTAGATTTTGCAAAACTCTCACGTGCTTCTCATGCTATTCTTATGGTATTTGTATTAATATCAAATGCTACAATTAGTACATTGCCTGCATTAGTTATTAAAGCTCAAACACATCGAAAAGTCGAAGGAATAACGGTTGATGATGATCATGGTGATTTAGAAGGCGAACCTAATGATGAATTACCTACATTTAATATTCGACATGTTCGAAATTTACCAGAACATATTCGAAATCGACTTGCAACATTACCAACTGCAGCACAACTTCGTTATCGTGCTTATATAGCATGTATTATTCTTATTCTTAGTACTTGTTTTACTATTACTACAATAACATTCATAGCTATTGGCAGTTGGATATCAGTACATTATACATCAGACCAATTATTACAAGGAAATTCTACTGTTAATCCATGGTATATCTCGTTTATGGTTGCTGTAACAGGTTTCAATCAAAATGGATTGACACCTTTTTCCGATGGTCTTTCACGTTTTGTTCGCGATATTTATTTCAACTTGTTTGTCATAATGGTAACTAATTCGCATATTTATTTTATTTTTATAAAATAGATTTCAAAATGTTTTTTTCTTTATTATAGGTAGTAATGAGTGGTACATCATTTTTTCCTGTGATATTACGAAATGTTGTTTTAATGGCACGGCATCTATCTCCATGGCGTCATAAAGTTATATTTGATTATATTCTTATGAATAATCATCGTTTATCTGCGTTACTTTTTCCTTCTGTACAAACGCGTATTTATCTTTTTGTAACAATTTTATTATACATATTAGGTGTTAGTATTTCATTGATACTCGATTTCAAGAGTGATGGCTTTGCTATTTATTCACCTGGTATACGATTTCTTATATTTGTCTTTCAAACAGTAAATACACGTTTTGCAGGCTTTCAAACAGTTGATATACATTTATTTGCATCAGCTACATTGCTAGTTTATCTGCTCTTGATAGCGACTAAACCACAAATGTTATGTGCTCTCGACGAATCTCCATTTGAGTTGTCTTGGCTAGCATTACAAGCACAAGAGAAAGTTAATGCTGAGGTAGATTCTATGATGAATATCAATGATACTTCATGTTTACCTGCACGTCATCGTAAATTAGGATCAATTCTATCATTATCGTCAGCTGGTGGTCTGCCTACCCGACAGATAAAGCGTTTCCTACGTCGACAATATTCAGTTACTAAAAATCTTGCTCGAGAAGAATTCAGAATTACAGTACCAGTAGACGGTACAAATTATAAAGCTCGACGTTTGAGATATTTGCGTGGTCGTTTATTTCTTATTTATTTTGCACGTGCACTTATACAGCATACAATTAGTTTTGTTATTTTAACTCGTACTTGGTTATTTTTCTTTATATTTCTTATATGTGCTATTGAGTATCGTCATATGTCACCTGTTGATCCAAATATAACTGTATTTAAAGTAATCTTTGAAATAATATCAGCATTTGGAACTGTTGGATTAACACTTGGATATCCGAATATAGCTTCTAGTTTTTGTACCGTTCTTTCACCGGCAAGTAAAACTATAATCGTTGCAACAATGTTAATGGGTCGTCATCGCGGTTTACTTGCATCGATGAAGGATCAAGAAACTATTGAATATAGTGCTACTGATTTACTTAAGCAACAACGTGAAGAAGTTATTAATAAATATCAACAAAATATATTAGACCCTAATGTTATCAATAGAGTGACATCTGAGAAACTTATCACATACTTTTAAATATAAAATGCGGATCAAATGTTATTTTTCTTAAAAGCTTCCTATATTTGTTTTTTTTCTGGGCATTTCTAAATAAAATATTTTAAGTTTCATAAGTATTATGTAACTTAAAATGTGTATTTCATGTCCAGATTAAAACACATAATTCACAGAGATAAAATAAATGGTTTTACTAAACAAAGTAAGATCGACTCTTTTGTAATGCATCGAGCCAGATGTATTGTTCACTGGGCGTTTAACGCTCATCTATTCGATTTATTGAAATGAGACAGTTTCAATATTGAAGTAGAAGGGTGTGGGTGTGTGAGTGGCAAGACCATTTCACCCACATCCGCATCATCCATACCCACACCACACACCCTCAAGCAAAATCCGATTTTTCTTGGAAGTTTATGTTTACACAAGCAATGCTTTAATAACTGTTTGCGTTTATGTAGAACAAAATCGGCAAGCAAAAATAAAGAATGACGCATTTCTTTGCGTGTCGCCAATTGATTTTTTCCAACTTTTAAAAATTGACGCAGAATCAATGCTCAGATGATGTAACGATACATCAACACATATTGATAAACATGCTGTAGTAATTTTTAGACTTTTACGAAATGAAGTATCTTCAACATGAATGAAAATTGTCATTGTTCAAAGGATTTTGCAAAAAAACGGCTTATTTTGTGTATTGATATTCGCATAAATATCATCTCTTGCCAACTCACAAAATTGATGAGGATAAAGTCATAACAGAAGCAAATCAATTCGATGTGAAATCTCATCATTGTTCGATAATGAAATTATTATAATTGAGTCAAGAATTAATACTAGATATTTTTGATAGATCAGATCAAAATAACACTTTGAGATTCAGTAAAAAAGAATGCATTTGTAAACAAGAGATAATCAGGAGAATATCGTTTAGCGATTCAAAGAGATTGAGAAGCAATTCGTTAGCCAACAGCTCGTAATCTCTATGTTGTAAGTCCTAAACAAGTAAGAAATCAGTGATCTACGAGTTTCACCATTGACCAATGTATTTAAGAAGCCTCTTTCTCCAAGCCAGTATCAAAAATATCCGATCAAATTGAGGAAAATCTTCTTAAACAATATTCATCTTTAACGAAATCCAATCGTTTTGCCAAGTTTCGATTTTCGAAATTGTTCCAAGCAAAGAGGAACAATGTTCTTGAAAAAACAAAATGAAAGTATGCATGCATTTTCCGAACAAACCAATACAAGTTCTTTTTTTTTATGTTTCTTCTGTTCTTTCATCTGGCCAAGAAAATATGCAGAATGAAAAATGATCGATTCATTTCAACGATGGCCATGCTTTCTACATCAACTGAAACTCGCAAAATGTTTTCACTGTTCTGGCTTGATGAGTCAAAAAATAATGTGAAGGTAATTTTGCAACAGCTGCAATCGATCATAGCTCATGCTCGAATATTTGACGATATTGAAGAATGTAAACGAATTCTTCGACTTTTGGATGAAGATCGATTTGTCTTTGTTACAAACAAACAATATGCTCGTGAGATTGTTTCTTGTATTCACGATCTTGATCAAATCTCGATGTTGGTGAAGTCGAAAATCAGAGTTGGATCAAAGATTACTCAAAAGTGAATATAATATTTTTCAATTGATATCTATTAAAACAATTGTGATTTTAGATTCGAGCTGTTGTTTCAGAGTTTGATGTATTGATTGCTCTAAGCCAAGCGGATCATAGATGTCGAATTCAAGTCGAAGAGTCCCTTTCAATAAGCCTCCTACATA